CAAATGAGGACTCAGTTGCTGCAATTCTGATAGCAACACATACTTAGCAATGCATACTTAGCAAGCAATATACCATCAACAAGACAAACACGTTGCTATCTGAGTAAAAGAACTTGAATGAGGGAAAATAAGAGTTATTCGCGAGATGTGTAGCTGATCTGAAAATACCGGTCGGGTGAAACTGAATGAATTCCATATCTTGCAACGGCAATCCTGCTCGACATGCGATCGCCATGCCGTCGCCAGTGCAGGCGTGTGCAGCAGTGCAGGAGAAATAACATCTTTCGGCACCACCTGTTGCAATTACCTACGAGATAATAGCTGTTTTTATCATCAACATCGATTTATTTGTATTATTAATCCTAGCTATACACAAGACACATTGAGGATCTCCAGTGTAATTCGCTAAATCGAGATTTTTTTTGTTTCTGAACTTTTCTTTTTCTTTGAACTTATATATCTTGAAATTCCTTAATTCTATCGACTCTTACACATTATTCCTTAATCAATTCTCCATCGATTGAAAAAAAAATTAATTGAAATACGTCCATTTTTACAGAAGATACGGTAACAAATATGGATAGGATTCTAGAGATCCGAGTGTGTGTATCAAGGGTAGAAAAAAAGAATGTATTAAGCTAGGGTTAATAGATCATATTATAAAAAATGAATAGCAAAAAAGATGGGAAAACTAGCCAGGAGCTAGCTAGCTCCCAGCCGATAAGGCAGAATCATAATACAATGGCTGCGTTCAGCAGACTCAACAGTTTTGCAACCGTTTTATGATTGTCTGCTGAGATAGGACCATTCTTCTAGATCTAAAATTATGATCTAATCAGCTCGAAAGAAACTTCCAACAGTTGCAAAACGAACGTTCTGCTGAACGCAGCCATTGACACGAACCGCTCCGGATATAGCCGAAAGTTGGCCGAATGTGATGTATGCTTGATACATGCGCAGTGGTCTACCACTGATTGGCTACGTTTACACCGTGCGTTTAGTCCGTGACTTATACGATAGGTGTCTTTATTTAACCTACAGGATAAACAAGGACACCTATAGGTCGCGGACTAAGCGCACGGTGTAAACGTAGCCACTGGCTGCGTTCAGCAGACTCAACAGTTTTGCAACCGTTTTATGATTGTCTACTGAGATAGGACCATTCTTCTAGATCTAAAAGTATGATCCAATCAGCGCGAACTGTTGGAAACTTCCAACAGTTGCAAAACAAACGTTCTGCTGAACGCAGCCACTTTCTTAGGCCGGTATCAGACTGCGCATTGGCTGCGTTCAGCAGAGAAAACTAATCAGCGCTTAGTGATTCTTTAATACGATTGGTTCCTACACTTAGATTTTGCGAAGAACTAACGGCAAGAACCAATCATATTAAAGAATCACTAAGCGCTAACTGATTAATTTTCTTTGCTGAACGCAGCCATTGAAGATTGAAGATTGAAGATTACAATTTGACTAGTGAGGACAAAGGAATTTTAGCTCCTATTGTTTTGATTGATCGTAATTTCCACCCATAGGGTATAAGCAATAAATTAAATAAATATTATATAACATTTTGTAGCTTTCTCTTACTGTATGATGAGCTCTGAATCGGTGTAGGAGTCCGGTCTCCAATTCCCAAGCCAGAATCCCTTTGCAACATCGGCCGTGCATAAGCAAGTCGAGGGCGAAATACTCGACGAAATAATGCACGTCGTAGCGAAGACTCTGGCCGTAAAGGGTATGAAGTACCGCATGACCGGTTCGATCGGCGACAGCACAGGTTCGCTTAGCCTGTCCGCCTTTGCCAAATTTTAACGACTGGCCACCAAAAGCTCGCTGATATATTCTACCATCTTCTGTGCGACTAAATGGACATCCTACGAGTTTTTTGGTATTTTTATTTAATATAAATCATGTATTATAACATTATCCAAATTATATACATATATATATATTTGTGTATATAATATATAATACAATATTAACGTATATGTATATGTATAATATGTATATAAATATAAAATATATATATTTATATAAATTGTTAAGCTATATATTTATATACATATATATTGCATATAGCTTTTCTCAAGATAATTATATTTGTGATTCATTGAGTTTACCATAATTTTCGAGTTCGTAGACCGCTCGAGGCGCTTCTCTTGCGAGTAAATGTATAGCATCTTGATCCCCTAGCCAATCGGATCCCTTCACAGTATCATACATATGATACAGCCAATTATCTTTTTGCTGATCGGCGATAGCAGCATTTATGCCACCCTGGGCAGCCACGGTATGCGACCTGGTCGGAAAGAGTTTTGATACTACTGCCACACGATATCCTTTTTTACCAAGTCCAAAAGCTGCCCTCAATCCGGCGCCTCCTGCTCCTACTATTACTACATCATAGCAATGGTCTATCAGAGGATAATTCTGTAAATTAGGAGCATGCATAATATTGAGCAACTAAAGTAAATATAAGAATTTTCTAATTAAAGAATTTTAAGGTAATTTCTTGTTTTTTTAATTTTGTTGAATATTTGGTTTATCCTGTAAAGATTTTTATTAAATAATTCTAATAAAGTGTACTTACACTGCCGCCTTTTTCCACGCCACACTTTGCTTTTTCCGCTGGACTAACGTTTACGTGAAAGCTTCGCGAATTTATAATTATTGCGCGAGATTGTTTCACGAATTTCTAAGGAAAAAATTACTATTTACTTCAAATTAATCAACATACAATTAGTTATTACTATAAAATCTTACAAATATTCCACTCGTTTGTATTAATCGACTGACCGATCGATGCATCATCTTGGTAAATATTTGATAGGTTCGAATGCTCTTTAACAGCTACCCACAGCTGTCATGACTGATGAAGCTCTTTCAGCTTCATTTGTCAGATAATAAAACAAATGAGAAAAATTTAAACATTTTTACCGCATAAACTCATCATATGCATGTGATTATTTTTATAAGTAATTTTCTGACGCAAACTTTAGAGAAAGATAAAAAGGGTTGCAGTTGAGGATTGCAGTTCAAAGTTTCCTTTAAATAAACTCGTAAATTGGATCTGTTGAATTTGTATAAGCATCGCAATTTATTGCACTTGTAAAAATACAGTTTAGAACGTATATGATTTATGTCTATCGCATACAATTAGTTCAAAATGTATTCTAAGTTAGATATCGAATCGATTTTGTCAAACGCTTATCGCATTGTTACTCTTTGGTATACGTTATGAACACCAGAGAGCCAACGTACTTGACGAATCACTCTTGTTAGAATCGTTACAATAATCTTTAATTAGCATGGTTTGTAAAATCTTATTAATCTATTTTTTCACATTTTATTCAGAACTTTGAAAAAATAGCCCTTTCTTTCTTTCCAATATTTAAAAAATAGAATGTATGACGAAATTTATAAAAAAAATGGTAGATCGGTAACTTTCTTGAATTTAAAATCCATGTCCTTGCCAGTGGAAATTCAAGAATTTCCATTTTTATTTTGTTTATCTCAAGGTACACGTGTGTACCAAGTTCTGTATTTTCTTTTGCCTATAAATTCAAAACAAATTCTTTATATTTTCTGGGACATTCTGTATATTAATTAGTATTTTGAACATGTTTGTTCAATAAATAATCTTTTCTTACCGCATTAAAGAATAAATACGAAAGCTCATCACTTTGTAAAATTTAAGTGTGCTTTTCTATAATAGCACATATTTAATTTACATATAATTAATCTCCTTCCTCACAAGACACAATCAAGTTTGCCTTTGTTGGGGTACCTCCTATGCGTATTGCCATATCGACACTTTGCATTTCATTATTCGTTAGCGACATGTATTCATTGAGCGAGCATTAATGCTTGTATCGGCACGACTCATCTAATCACTAGCGATTTTCTAATCTTATTGTATGTTCAACCTTGTTACACGATATTAGACATAAGAATCTTGTGAAGATTAGGCGAATTAAGTGAGTTGGTAGAAATTCTTTGGCGAAAATAAAAATTGAAATATAAGTCGAATGTAAGAGAGTGATAAAAGCGTAAACGAAAGTTTTAGGAGGAAAATTGAGACATAAAACGCTTCTTTCATCTGTCGTTGTCTCCTTTTTCACCTTCCAGAAGCTTCGTTCTCGCTTCTGTTACTCTCTTCTTACATTTGACTTACATTTATAGGCTCCGATTTTTATTTTCACCAGAATACGTTTTCGCAGAATTAAATATTTAAAATTAAACATCGAGAGGTATCTTAATATCTAGATTACTTATTGTTAGAGAAGTATATAAATAAATATTGAATATAAAACAAAAAGAAATTTACTTAAATATATTTTAATTCCAAATAAGTGTTTTTTAATTCGTGATTCGCCTCTCTAGAGCTAAAATGGATTCAACTAAATATATAACAATTTAAAAAATCATCATATTCATACTTTTACGAGATATATTAACATCGATTCCTCATAATTCTCCTATTTTTAACGGGAAATATACTTGCACGATTCTTTCCACTTGTATAAAAAGCTTATCAAAAAGTCGCACTCGTGAATTTATAGAAAAGAGATGGACTTGGCGATCGCTCGGTATATGTATGTATACATCATGTGTTTGTGACAAAAACGTTTATCAAATATATCACTAGATTACTCAAACATAGCGAGTAAATCAACGCATTGTTTACAAAGCGAGCTAAAGTAAATTAAAAAAAAATTCTCCGGTGAGATATAAAAATGCTGTTTCGTAAAAGTTACTCTCGAAATTCTAAAATTTATAAAAGCCATTTGTGTGAATTGTGTAGTGCTCTATATACCTATTATCGCGATAAGGCAGTATAATCCATCGCCTCAAATCAGAGAATATTTTTAAAATGGACTCGATCTTGTAAATTCTTTTAAAATTCCAAATTATATATCGTATCTTCTCTTCGAAAAATATATTCTCGATCTCGAGAAAATCTTTTTTTAAATTAAAAAAAATTAGAATGTACACTTTCATCCAGAGAACATCTTTCTGGTAATATTTTTTCTTCAGTTCGTTTTTTAGAATATCAAAATACGATGTGATAGCAACGACTCTCGGAGAACAATGTTACGTTTCACAACGCGAGCCTTTTGACGCCGCACTCGCAGCAAAACTTGGCGGTTTCTGGAAATCGCTGACCACACTCGTGACAGAACTTGGACATCTTGCACTTGGTCATCGTTTGAGTCGGTGATGTTCCGTTCCTGGGCACGTCCTCGTCGAGACGATCGATCACGTCGTTGGCGCTGCGTCCATGGTGCGAATATTTGCGATTTAAACTGGAGGATACAAATCAAATTGAGCTTAAAGCGAGAACGCAAATGTAAATGAATGATGAACTTACAATTATTAAAAAGCAAAAAGGCAGAATTTTTGGACTTGTAGAAATCTTCATATTTCATTAAATGAAATTTTTTCCATTAATATAAGATTAATTTCAAATAAAAATTAATAAAGATATCACTTAATACATTTAGAAATAATAAATTTAATTTTTGTGAAAATGAATACCAAAATTTTTTTACAATAATTGTTTATTGTAATTTAAAATTTATCTTTTATTTAATTGATAATTGATTAATTAATGAAGGCGAACGATAAAGATAAACAGTCACTTTAAAGTAGTTTTTATCAACCTGTTGTAGGCGGAGTCATTGCTGAGCTTGCTGTGATCTTGCGGCTTGTAGCTGTCGGGAGAGGATAGTTCTTCGTCGCTGATCAAACTGCCATTTCGTTGTCTATCGCCGCCGGGGCTGGACAGGTCGAAGGATTCATTATTGAGGAAGGATCTTAGTCCAGGAAACGCGTCCTCCTCGAAGGATGTCATCAGCTCGTCGAACATCGAGTTCGATCGCTTGACGTCCAACTCCGAGGAGGAGATGATTGAATTGAGACTAAGGTTACTGCCGGACAGGGACGAGTAATTATTGTTTCTTTGATTGAGACTCTGATCAGACGATTTCTGACTCTCAACGTTCCTGGAACCCTTTCTTATACCACCTGAGGCCTTTCTCTCGAGGCCCGAGTTGATTCTGGGCGCGGACGAGGCCCGGATCGAGTTGGATCGGTTGATTAATGATCCTGTATTCCTCAGCGTGTCTTTGTCAAAGATTTTACGCGATCTATCCGCGCTGACAACGCCGCGACGCTCGTCGACGCCCAGTGCCTTCGATTTATCGATAATAACTCGTCTGCCCAATTCCCTAACAGGTTTTGAGGCCGCGGAATCTGTCGCATCTTTGCCCGCGAGATTAGGCTTCAGGAAGACCTCGCGCGAAATAGAATTGGTTTCGGTGGAATCACTTGAGAAATTGGATAAAAGGTCATCGAATTCAGTAGGTGGCATTATAAGAGACGACCTCTTGTCGGTAGGAGGATATTTTACAAAGGCGGAGGAGTGCGAGAGAGGATAAAGGGTATCACGAGTTTGCTGAACTTTGGGACTCCCCGTTATAGATTGATCACTCGTATCCGACAGTAGGTCGTTCATCTGCTGTTCGGCCAGCAGAAAGGGATCGTAGTCCTTGCAAGTGCCGCTGAAATTAGAATTTGTTTAGTACAGCCTTTAATTCTACTTCATTGATAGAAACTTTCTTGCATAAAACGGTGAATATGAATATAGTGAACAAACATAGTGCATGCAATATAAGTGATGATAGAGTATATTTTGCTTATAAGTGTTCTATTGCAGATGAGCTATACGTGTGCCAATTGATCGATTCTTCAGACAAACATTTACAAACGTGCATGCAAGCTCGGACGCGCATGGTGCAACGTTATACAATCTGTACTTGCTAGATATAAATTATTCTTTGAAAAATTTAGAATCAATTTCTCTTGAGTTAGTTTGATAAATCGACTGTCAGTCGCGGGAAATAAAAAGCAAAATAAATAGAACATTCTTATTTTAATTTAAAACCGATTTCATTATGTAACAGAATTTTAATTTAGGAGTTAATTATTAAGATGTTGAATGTTGAAATTTGAAAAGTTATGAAAAATAAATTTGAGATATATATATATATTTTTTTTTAATAAAGAAAAATTGATTCTCTAAATTCCGCAAAAAGCCAATACTGTTTTTTTTAATCAATTCTAATATCTTTTATAGTGTTCTGAACTAAAACATAGATAATAATTAGCAATGAATATTAATAAGATAAAATAAAATATCTGAGGAGCAGACGTTTAAAATGTGTTTTATCCAAAATTTGTAATTTTCAAAAAATGAGAAAGAAAGAAACTACGCACTTTGCAGAAAATAATAATCAGTAGGATGTGAAATATTAAACAAAATTGCTTAACAATTGCTAAAAATGATAACAAATGCATTTTATTTGTTTCTAGTGAAAAAACATAATGTACTTCGAAATGTTGGTTTTTTTCAGCATATAAATTAACGATGAAAAAATGCTTTATGAACATCTAGTAGCTTATAATATAAGTCATTCAACTGAACACTACGCCATCTCTAACTAAAAAAATTTTGGACAAAACGCATTTTGTCTGCTCGTCATCTATTATGCCCTGCTCCCTCCCCACACTGGTTCCATGTCCTGGAACTTACGTTCTAGCCTTAAGCACGAGATTAAAGTCTGGTCTTCTGCGTACATAATTGCACCAGGCGGGACGTGTCTCCAATTCAACTTTCCTATAATATTGTTACCGTATTAACTATTTAACAGCTATCTTACTAGAATACACAAAGATGCAATAATATGAGAAATAGAAATCTAAAAGAAACAATTTTACAGTGCGATTGGCAATGCAGTATAGATTCTTTACCAATTAAATTGCAATTTGCACAAAAACTTATTATTTAAATATTAATATACTACAACATGACTTATAACTAATTTTGTAAAATCAACATTGCATTACTTTAAGCTAGTTGATTTGTATGAAAGTTATGTGCTTTTCTAAATATAAATCTATATTAATTAAATACTCTAATGTTCTACAGTAAATAGTATTAACATACATAGTAAAGAATAATATTAAAATCGACAATTCTACTTATAATATAATACTATAAGTTCCACTGCTTTCTATTATCTCTACCTTTGATTGATTGAGAATGGATTCAGAACAGGTGGGAGAATACGGACTCTAGGATTTCTTTTAGTAAGCTTGTATTCCATATGACACGTAGGATAGAGATTAGTTAATCTGTTTTGCGAGATCTTAGAGGTCCTCTCCCAATACGATCCCTCAGAATCTTCCTTCATCTCCGCCGCGTCACCCTTTATATCAGGTAAATCCTTAAATACTTTGTACCGCTTGTTTGGTCTGATTATCTCAATGATCTCTTGTTCGTAAGCACAATTCGCTTTGGGTCGTCTGATGCTCGCGAGTTCCACGAATTCGACAGAGGATATCAGGGAATCAGTACTGCCACGAAGAAGATTCATGCTTTCCTTGATTCTGTGCTTCATTTCGATGGAATTGACTGATTGCTCTCGCGCAGCTCTTTTAGCCGCGCCGTAAGCGCATTTTGGAAAATTCATGCCCGCGTTCAAGAAAATTTCGCTACCACGACACTGTGATTGCTCCTCCGCGTAGTCCGTCAACGTAACTGATGACCCTAAACCATCAGTGCTTCGTCTATTGTATTCCTCGACAAGCACGGTGTTATCGCTACCGTAATCGAATTCGCTGTCTACATTTTTCTTGCGCAAACCTTCAGCTGTCGTAATTTCCGCTTTAATGATTGAACGGTCGAGAAGGCTTGATTTATTGTTCGAACAGCTGTTATCTGAATCTGTGTTGAAATCTGTCTTTCCATTTTTCGTGTTATTCTCGATATTTCCAATGTTATCAGAACTGAAATTTTTTTCTTGAAATTGTCTATTGTTTTTGACATGCAAAGATATCTTATTCATAGATGCATTTAAGTAATTACCATCAGCAATTTCCGAATTTTGTGGAAGAGAATATACTTCACACTTTAATTTCTTTGAATTTCTCTTAGGCTTTTTATTACAGATATTGGTTAAACCATTTTCATATCTTTCTTCATCTATTTTAATTTCTTCAACATTTCTTGTACAATTTTTTTTGGGGGTAACAATCGGAGAGGATGCAGGAAATGATATCTTTTTGATATTTTCTATTAGATCCAATGAATTGCGACTTTGACATGCTAATGTTTCGTTTTCGGGACTCGAATTACAGTCAGCTTGATTATTGCTATTGTTTAAAGATGTTATCTCATTAATGTTAGGTTGATCACATATAAAAGTTGCTATACTTTCTTTTAATTCAAGTGAATTATTGTAACGTGTATCACTTTCGCAATGTGGTACTTCGTCCTTAGAGTTCAGACAATCTTGACTCTGATCAATAAAATTCTTTTTCTTCGATACGTTTGATGCAGTTGAATGTGTTACATTAAATAAAGAAGATTTAATTAATTGATCAGATTCCGATAAATTTTGCTCAATTTCTTTAGTATATTTTGTATTTTCAATAATTATTTCATTCATCGTTATTTGTCGACCTTTTTTATCTTCTTTATAAACATTTAGTTTATCCAATTCTGTAATATCTGCAATATTTATTTTTTCAATTTCTTTTGTACCTTCTTTTATACTGGTATTTATTTCTATTTTCTCAATATCATTTTCTGTAATTTTAGTCTCTTCATAGCTTGCTACTCGCCTATTTTTCTCTATAGTATTTATATTAAGTTCCTCCGTTGTATGTGCTACCACTTCAATTTTTTCACTATTGATTTTCTGAATATTTTTTATACTTTTATTATTTGTTTTCAATTTCTCTACTTTACACTCTACTGGAATATTATCATTTTCTTTATCTTTAATGCACATTTTTAACTCTTTCACTTGTTCAATCCTAATTTTTTCGTCGTTTGTTACAATTTTTCTTTTCGATTTCTTTTGATCGAATTTGCAGATTTCATCTTCCCTATCTTTCAAATTATCTGCTACGATTTCCCTTTCCGATTTCCTTTGATCGAATTCGTAAATTTCGTCTTCCCTATCTTTCAAGTCATTCGCTATAGTTTCCCTTTTCAATTTCTTTTGATCAAATTTGCAGACTTCGTCTTCCTTATCTTTCAAGTTGTTCGCTACGGTTTCCCTTTTCGATTTTTTTTTATCAAATTCGCAGATTTCATCTTCCTTATCTTTTAAATAAAATTCCACGCGAGGACTGTGTTTAATCGGTTTCCACTTGCTATGAAAAATCTCCGATGGCTCAATATCTTCCGAGTTTTTTATCAAATATGTCTGATTCAGATTCTGGATACCGCTGAGCCATGTAATATTATCATTGTTCTTCACTTTATCAACCTTGCTGTCTTTGTCGATTCGAATAAAATTATCTTCTATAATTGATAAATCTCCCTCTGTCTTATTTCTATTTTCATTTCCTTCCTCTCGATTACATAGTCGATCGAGATCGAGCAATTGGAACTCTCGCGAGAAATTATGATTAATAACTGGATCGTCAGCCTGAAAATTATCTTTCTTACGACTAATCTGCTTCCACGTCACTAATTGATCGTCTTTTTGCATGTTCATATGTATCCTACAAGGTTGCACAGTGATTCCTAGAGTCTTATTGTTCACAGCAATATCGTTGATTCTCGGATGACCTTGACTTCTAGCGGAAACGATGTTTTGCATTCTGGCGGAACAGATTTCTCGATTTCTCGTATCATCATTTTGAATGCGTTGGAAAATCATTTCGTTTTGGTTAAACTGTTTTCTGGATGAAGTAATTGGCGATGCGATTTTGTTAGAGGAAACCAAATCGTTAGTCTTGGGTCTCGTAGGAGGTACAGGTAAATAGAGAGAACGACGGGAAGATATCGCAGGATGGAGAGATCGGCAGGATGTTGATGTTAGTAGACAGTCATGATCTTCTGGTGGCCTGAGGAGATGGAAGCAGGATCAAGGGCATGTGACTAATAATCATCAGGAGAAGGTTGTCAGGGTTAAATAAAAAACAATTTTATAAAACAGATAATTGCTGAAAAAATATTTGAAAATGTGTACTTATGGTTTTAATCAATTATTTTAAGTGATTTTGTTGTAAAATCAAATTCAAAAATTTTTATGTGTTAAATTGTATTCTATTGATGTTAATCAAAATTAATCACAGAATGCTTTTAAGCAGCCTTATCCTCTTTCCTTCTCCTCATGGACGGAACACTAAAATTTATCCTACATTCTATATTTATTTTATCTTATACAATTCACAGAATTTTAAAATTGATCAAAAAGAAAATAATCATAAAAAAATCTCACCTATTCATACGATCGACAAGGCGTGACTTTATAGGTCCGGATGAGGGAGGGGAGTCCTTGAGTTGTCCAGGACGTCTCCTGTAAAAGTATAAATATATCGTTAAATAACTGATTACTAGGTCTAAAATAAATCAGAAATTTTTATGTGCAATATATGTATTGTAATCTATATTACATAAAAGACAGATATTAGAGATATTAGAAGAAAAGAAGTATGGATGTAATATTTAGAAAGATATTAAAGAGAAAAAAGATTAAATCCAAGCAACAAATCCACTTTTTTATCTTCTTTTTTCTGAAAACACTTTTTTTAAGATAATAAATTAAAAATGAATAAAAAAATAAGTAATTCTCATTTCTTTAAATTTTTTAGCAATTCACTGAAAAATTTCAGTATTTTTTATTTATTGCACTATCGCTACAATATATTTTCTTTCTGCAGAAAACATGGAAACTCAATCCGTTAATGAGAAAAGCTTGAGAATTTGACTTACATAATAGCAGGTTTCTGCTTGACAGGACTCTCTCGATTGCAACTGATACTCGAAATAGTCTCTTTCGGTTTAACGAGCGCCGGTGATGACAATGAGGCCTTGGCAGCCTGGTTCGCTGCCGAGCCCGGGCTGTACTTTTCACGATTGATAGCTCGCCGGTTTTTCAAAGTCGGTGCCCTGTATCTCATACGTGCCTCTAATCGTTCCTTTGCCAGATTGGTCGCCGGACTCATCGGCATTCGGGTAACTCTGTCTTTGCACCATGCCACATGACGATCATAGGCTTTGATACCGAACTGCCGGTTACACGTGGGGCATGTGCCTTTCTCGTTGGCGCGTGTTGGTGCACCTGACGAGATTAGCGAATTGCATTGTTTGCGCGAATCCATCTGGAAGAATAAATTTTGGAGATGTAGGAATTCAATTACGAATAAAAAATATAGAAATAAAAGCTATATTTTCTTCATTATAAATTGCACAAAGTGGAAATGAAATTTCTTATTTTTGATGCGAGAATAATTTTTTTCTATTTCACTTTCCGCTTTGATATAATCCGTTTAAAAAATTATTTAATATATTGTTTAAAATTTAGTTACGAGAAAGAAAGGACTCTTAAAGCAATTAAGTACACGTATTTTTTAATAAAATGAAAAAATTATAGATTTTTCTATATAATTATTATTTGAAAGTAATACAAAAACTGTTTCATATGTATGTAATATTAACTTTTATATAAAAAGTATAAATTTTCAAATCTAGTCATTTTTTGCAGAGACCATACATCCTTAACACGCAATATGATCGCAAAAGGACTCACAACATCGCCGCGTGCCTCACGAATCGTCCGCAGGAAATCGTCGTGGGTCTTTTTCCAAGTGGACCTCGATCTCTCGTCCTGCTGATGTCGCCGGATCTCCTGTTTAGGCTGGAATTCAGCCAACTCAGTACCTTGGATCCTCTGCTTAGCCGAGTCGAAGGGCTTGCGCTTTTTGGCGGCGGCACGCTCACATATCCTCGCGTGCTTCTCCAAAGACTGCAGCGTGAAGGTCCGCGCGCAAATCGCGCACGGGAACAAGATCGGCGACAGCGCATCTGCGTCCATTTACACGGTCCAACAATTAGTAGGCTTTCGCAATTTAAACTTTGCGTAATAATAGTAGATGTTCTATATACGTATAGATGTTTTCTTTTTCTTTCTCTTATTATGAGCAAGACCACGAAACTCCGATCCTGGTCGCCACGCCAGCTGCGTCTATTCGTCGTCAAACGATTAACCGATATCAAACCCGTTGTATCTTTGAGATACGACGTGAACGTGATGTTTTTTTTTTGAAAAATTAATAAATATTACACTTTCATTTTGTTTTTTTTAATGTCCCGTATACGTGATACTGTGACATTTATCGGTTATCCCCGGCACGCTAATACGGAGAACCGATCTGACTCACCCCGTGCTAATCGCTATTCGCTCTGACAAAGGCCACGAATCCGCGAATAATCGATATTTTTGCCGACACATCGAGAGATCGCCAAATATGACGATAGTACACGTGACGTAACGAAACTTAGAACATATATGCGTGCGTACATATTGAAGGCGAAATCTTACAGTGTGAGTGCAAAACACGTGCTCGTCATCGCAGTCTGTCTCCGATCGATTAAATCTAATTTAAAATCTAATGTTTAACTTTTTCATTTTTCTAAATAAATATATATCCCTAAAAATATATTCTACAAAAATGCTCTTATACCCCCTATAGCACAAAGTTGCACAAAAGTTGCAGCAATATTGCAAAGATTTTGCAGCGATATTGCTGCAAATTCTGTTCTGTATAGGACTGTTCCATATACGTATAATACATTATTTATTATGTATGTATGTATTTATTATATAGATACAGTTTTATTTTTCTAAACATATTTAATTGATTTTTAATTTTCATTTCTCAAAATAAACAGATCTTTGAAGATATGTTAAAAAAAATTCTTTTTCACTTTGTGTTCTATTTGTATATACCCATACAGCATCGATTGTTGCTGAAAATTTTCAGAAATGTTTCAACCTTTCACATGATGGTGATTCATAATATAGTATGTAAATCTTTTTATTATTAATAGGATAATAAAAATGCTTTAATATCATAAAAATTCTGTTTAATTGAATAAAATACTTAAAAATTTAACTGTCTTTGAATCAATATTTTGGTTCTGTAAGCTGAATCCCAAGCTGAATCCTTTCTGCAGCTGCAAAGCAATCAAGTGTGTCGTATTTTAATAAATAGAAATTGTATTTTTAATATTATTATTTTAATAAATAGAAGTCATATTTTAATAAATAAAATATTTCTCATGCCGTGTAATTAATGTACATATTAACTAAAACAATAAATTTTTTATTAAAAAAAATGTCTCAATATAGTTTGAAGAAAAAAAATTATACAAGTTTTTTGCTCTTGCCAAAAACACATTTCAAATAGAGATAATTACTTTTGCAAATGAGCAAATTCATTCAAAGCTATTCATTCGTTATGTACGCTCTATTTTTCCCTTGATAATCTCACTTTCCTTTCCGCGAAAAAACGCAAGACCTCGGAAACACTATCGTGGCGATGAAACGCGCTGCGATTGGAAATGTTGGGAATTTAAATTGCAAATTGCACTTTCTTCGATCGCCGTGGGTATTGCGCAACGACTAGCTACAGTCTTCTCTCTTCTTGCGAGATCACACACTTCGAGAGTGCCCCAATTAATATGAGCTATGCATTACGAGATAACGCCTCTATTCAATAAGCCATTCATTTTTAAACATGACATGAATCCTACATTTCCTGTCCTATGGAAATTTCAATGAGATAAGTAGATCGATTCTTGCAATATCTGATATTGCATCACCGTTTCAATGAAAGCAACGAATCATTTCCAGCACATCGCAAGAGTGCAAAAGTAAGAAATAAATTTCCACATATGCGTGTATATGTACGCACAAAGCTTTATTCACTTTTATTTCCATATCTTCATATTTGATTAAAAATCCTATTTCATTGTTTTTTATAAAAATCCGGAATTATATCCCAAATAGCACTTTCACATATTCGGAATGGAATAAGCAGTAAATACAATACAGTAAAAAAATTTGTGTATTTGTATTGGAAACGGTCCACTCACGTTTGTGTTAACAGTTTGTGTAGAATTTTTTAACAAATTCGAGTGTTAATTTAACATAATGTGATTATGTTATTTAAAGATTTTTTGTGAAATTGATATTCAACGTTTCTTAGTGTTGTTAAAATGTCACAATTTATGAATAAGTGAACAAGTAACATAAAAATAATGTGTTTTAAAACGTAAATTCGAAGACAAACGAATGAAATATGTATTAATTTAATATATCATAAATGTTAATATTTAAAAAAAAAATATGTTGCCACGGTTTGTTTACAAACTGTGTCGATGTTAACTTTCTTTGTATTTATTCTCTTACATAATATATTTGTGTTACCTTCTAACATATTCATCTTGTGTAAAATTAACTCAAAAATTTGAGTGGACCGTTTGGGATATGCGATTTATGTTAAATTTAACACATTTTTTCCAACTGTGAAAATAAGAATCGATTCGCGACGCGAGGGCTACAATGTTGTATGTACTTCTGCAATACCACGAGTGATTTTAATCGCGCACTCGTTAGTTTCGCGGTTTTTATCCGATCGAATTTCGCTTTGAGGGAGACTCCTCGTTTTCTCAATTCTATTAAAGCGACCAATTCTCAGGTGCGCGTGTCGCGTGGACGCACCTGCGGCGCCGACTCGCGCGGCCACGCCGCACCGCACCGACGCGACGAGGACGTCGAGGACATCGAAGAGGCCGAGGGGGTCGCCCCCGCGAGACTCGGCTCTCTCGCCTCTCGAATGAGCAAGCTTCCTTTTTTAGGCGTCACCGAGATTCGAGTAGCCTCGCTGCGAGAATCACGCGTGTCCCCTATCCGTCACGACATACGCAAGAGTATCCGTTCCTTCCGTCCTCGGATCCTTTTCTTCTCTTTCCTTCTCTTCTCTTCTTCCCTTCTTCCTCTTTCTTAAGCAAAGAAACATAAGTGTTCTCTTTTTAGTTAAACTTCTTGCACGGTTCATCTTTTCTTAGAGGAAAAAGAAGATGAAAGAGGAACTAATTTTTAATGCAAGTTCAGTTAAAAAGAAACAGGCTTACAATTTCGTCGTTAACGATCTTTTATTCTTTTCGCATTCATTATTTTCTTCGTAGATTCGCGCGAATGGATTATTTGATCTCAGACCGAAGGTTTCTTCAATGTCGATGCGAAGAGAAAGATAGTCGCGTCTTTTTAAGTGCGTCGAGAGAATGCGGGTCACCGTATTTGCTTTCGTTCGCTACGCAAGTTTTACGTCATTATACAATGCGTGTATTACAATCACATTATATATTATTCATGACACATATATAAAATCCTTTTACCTCGCAGTCTATTATATCATCTAGTCCATTAAATCGATGTGTTTATGACTCTTAATTTTCATTGAAAGTTTTTTCTCAATTTGTTAAATTTTCGCTTTCTGCGCATTTTTCCATGTAATCTCCGGCGGCGAGAGATCTTCGGCAATTCGTATGCGTAACAACAAACAGCACGGCGCTGTTAAAATGATCTCATTGCGTCGAAACCGCTTAGCGACGCCCACAAACGCAATTGCTTCTATTCTGTTTGCGTTTTCCTTCCAGAGTCGCGCGCGTTGGAAACAAACCGGTGAAGATTTTTTTTTTGCTTTTCACGTCAGAGTTATTGCCGTTTTTCTCCCGTCTAAGATCGACGGGACTCTTAATGCAATTGCTAAGTCGGTGCAAATTGATCAGTATGCATGACGGAGGTGTGTCATTACAATTCTTATAGCCGCTTTTAGACGTGTGCGAGTAGCAGGAAAATAAATATTTTCATTGGCACCAAATGTGAAATAAAAAGGAAATCCAGAGTCGAGTAGCTCTTCGAGGAACGAGGTAATAATGATTAATGATAGAGTCATGCGTAGCTATACTGAAGCTATTCTATTAATTTAAAGCACTTTATAAATTGCCGTGCAATTTATTTACAAAAAGGAAAGATAAGGTGTTAAAACATTCAAAATTGTTATGCAATTATTGTAGCAAATTCTAATATTTTTCAAACAAATTAACAAATTTTTAGAAGTTATAATTACGTGCCGATAGTAATATGATGTTCTGTATTAATTGAAGCTATTTGGCTTTTGTTTTGGAAAGTACTTGGAAAGACATTTGGACGCCAATGGTATCCAAATGTAAATAAGTACTTATATTCTAAATATGTAATACATAATATCAACAGCGGCAGAGCATTCAATATAATTCTAAAAATATCGAACTACCCCGGGAAAAAATATTTTATATATAATTATATAAAAT